TCACCGCCAGGAACCTTGTCCTCACCGCCAGGAACGTTGTCCTCACCGCCAGTAACCTTGTCCTCACCACCAGTAACCTTGTCCTCACCGCCAGGAACGTTGTCCTCACCGCCAGGAACCTTGTCCTCACCGTCAGTAACCTTGTTCTCACCGCCATTAACCTTGTCCTCACCGCCAAGAACCTTGTCCACATCGCCAGGAACCTTGTCTTCACCGCCAGGAACCTTGTCCTCACCACCAGGAACATTGTCCTAATCTCGAGGAACCTTGTCCTCACCGGCAGGAACCTTGTCCTCACCGCCAGGAACCTTGTCCTCACCACCAGGTACATTGTCCTAACCTCCAGGAACCTTGTCCTCACCTGCAGGAACCTTGTCCTCAAAGGCAGGAACCTTGTCCCCACCGCCAAGAACATTGTCTTCACCGCCAGTAACCTTGTCCTCACCGCCAGGAACCTTGTCCTCACCGTCAGGATCCTCGCGAAATGCCTGTGCAATCGAGTGAGATCATATAAATTTGATTATCGCGTATCATGTTTATTATAACAATCACTACAATAATCACAGTTCACGAAACAGGCATCCTTAAATCTCATTTCACGGAGCATTTTTATCAACAATCGCGCCTCACGGCTGTAGAACAAATCACATTTCACGACACTAAAATCAAGCATTTCATATTTCACAGGAACAAATATTCACCATTCACGGCTCACGAAAATACCCTTTCCCTCCCTCAAGTGAGACGTTGCTGACGTGCATACACAACATTCCACGTTTATTTTTACATCCGCTTGACACAAGACCTTTGCCTAGCCGACCAACACAATTAATTATATATTATAAAAACTGTAGCGGGCATTGTTGTGTATTTTGCGGTATATATAGCGGGGTAAAAGGAACAAATTGCCTTGCTATGCTCTGGCTTTTAAAATGAGTCAAAGTCAGGCCAAAAACATATTTATGCCCGCGAACATCAATTCTATTGAACATAGTTATATTATTATAAAATGTAAATGTTGTTTTTGATGAATAGGTCAGTACCACTGGGCAACACACTGTTTTAATAATTCCTCTTCATCGAACACTAAAACAATAAAAAGCTGAATTATTCTAAATATCAGTTCGACAGGGGAAATTCTAGCATACAAACAGACTTGAATTCTATTGGAATTACCATTTAATGAACGCTTTCTCGTATTTTAATATTATTTTTATTTTTTTTTACATTTAACAATTATTCGCCTCAGGCTAGGCGATTATCGGGGAATATTCGCCGAGACGAAGTCAAAGTGAATATTAATCCCCGATAATCACCGAGCCTGAGGCGAATAATTGCTTTAGTATTTTTACACAAGTCTTTTGTGTTTTTTGGGACCGAATTTATTTTAATTTCGCTTATTTCTTTAACACTATCTTCCACAAAACAGCTAGCCGCCATTTTGAAAATTTCGATTTTGTTATATTCACCTGTAGGTGAATATAACAGCTTAATACGTCAAATTTGACCAATCAACTTGTATATGATTTGTTATGTTCACTTGTGCGAAAATACTAACTATTATTATATTTAAAAACTAAATGGATGTTTCATAAGCCAGGATTTGTTCCTGAACAGTCAAACACTTTTTCTCTGTAGCCTCGGCATAGATCATCTCTGTGCAGTTCAGTTTGTCTGAGAGATCTCTGTTATGTGTCTCTGGAAGTAGCCAGGTTAGTAAGGCACCAACAAGTGCTAGGATGGACAGTATTGTATAAGGTACAGAGGTTGTCGTATATACACCCTGAAAAGAAAGGCGGAGGCATTCTTCAACTTTTTGACATGGTGTTTATTCGTGCAATGTGCAGATACTTTATTAAATACCAAGAGTTTAGGGCATCTCGCCCGATAGATATACATAGAATTATTAGTAGATGGGGTTTTCATTTTGTGGATGGAATATAGTCGCAGGTTCGATTCCTGCCGGAAGGCCTTGATCACCTTATTACAGACAAACAACCAACCACCGAGCAAGTGAGCGGGGCGAGCGAGCAAATGAACAGACGAACGAACGAACAAACAAACAAACAAACAAACAAACAAACAAACAAACAAACAAACAAACAAACAAACAAACAAACAAACAAACAAACAAACAAACAAACAAACAAACAAACAAACAAACAAACAAACAAACAAACAAACAAACAAACAAACAAACAAACAAACAAACAAACAAACAAACAAACAAACAAACAAACAAACAAACAACAACAAGCAAGCAAGCAAGCAAACAAACAAACAAACAAACAAACAAACAAACAAACAAACAAACAAACAAACAAATTAATTAATAAACGATTTATTACTATAGATCAAATTTTGCTCTGATCATGTGCGAAACGTAATTCGAAATGTTTGCCGATTTTAGTAAGTTCGACATCAATGTTAAGTTCGACAGATTGAGTCATGCCTAAAGGTCCACACAGACCAGACGCGATTCGGCAACGCGACGAACTAATGCGCGAATAACTATGTCGATTGCATATGTCTGATGCAAACCGCTATTGAGCTATAAATTGTACGTAGCCAATGTTAGGAAAGTTTGCCTCCAAAACTGATTCCCAACAAATAGTACGTCACTTCGCTTAAAATCACTCACAAATTAAAGTTTAAAAGTTATATTTAATAATAGAAATCGCTTCGCTATAAAATCTCACTTCGCTCTCACAAGTCTCACAAAAATGTGCTTAACTCAACAAAATTAACAC